AAACAATATTAAAGCAGCAGCAGTTAATAAGCACTAGAGTCTAAAAACTGACAGATTCTTGGTGAAGCCATTCCAGGCTCTTTTACACCTGTGGCTTCTACAGCTTTTAAGTTCTCTTATCAAAGGTACCATTTTAAGCAATAATTGTTCAGTAAAGGTATAATCATCTCTCTAAAAAGTTGAGGTTACTGGAAGACACAGTGCTCAGAACTTCCCTACCACCTTTTTAGGTCAAGATTTATCCATTAATTTTTGCCAAGGACAGCCAGACAAATTTCTGAAAGAGAACTCTAATAGTTTTCAAGTGTTAACTCATCTGATGTAAAGAAACAGATTCCACGGTCAAGCAGGAACTTCACAATTACCAGCTATACAACACTGCTTAGATATTTCGTTTCAGCACAACATCAGTCAGCCTTCCAGCACTCACAAACACATGCCTTTTTCCCAGCAATTTGGCAGATACTCACATTAAGCAACTTTTAATAACCATTCATCATACAAAAAGAAAAGAGCTATGTATTCTTTCCAATATTTCACACCTACAATTGTCATTAACCCCATTATCATTTACCCACTCTCTTGTGAGGCAATCTCTAAACACACAAGATGAACGATGCTCAAATTTAGACAGACACCAATGCTGTTTTCTGACTTTCTTGTTTAAAGAAGTCATGTGACCAGCAACATACATTTGAAATGGCATTAAAGAACATACATAACGAAAAAAATCTCTAATAGCACTTCTCATATTGATTCTTTTCCAGGTTGGATGGGGCCCTCAGCAGTCTGATCTAGTGGTTGCCAACTACGTCCATGGCAGAGTCCCTTCCCTTGACGGTCCCTTCCAACCTAAGCCATTCTTTGATTCTATTTCCATGTCTCTCCCTAAGAAGCAGAAAACAGAGCCTTGCTAATAGCGAATGTGCTCTGTGCCATATAGGAAAAACAAGTTTTCCACTCCCCAAAGTCAAGAGATGCAGTACGACCAGCTTACAACTGAACTCAGGACAAAAACACGAGGCACAGAGACCAAATGAGGCTGTGGGCTTACAGTCTCTTAGTTCAGAGAACACCAGTGACTCCCAGCATCGGTGGGATCTCGGTGACACACACACCATGCAGCCACACAGACCTTCCTGGTGCATTCCAGCCACTCCGGGCCACATGACAGGGCACGTTCAAGGAAGACTTTCAAGAGCAAAGCAAAAACTGCGATCCTTCCCTCGTCGGTACTGCTTTTCAGGGCACTGACAAATCATCCTCCTTCCACAAACAGCTCCGGCTTCTTAGCAGCCAATCCCTCTCTCCTAACGCCGTCGGCAGCTGGGCAAGGACCTGCCAGTTCTTCAGCTCCTGCCCCGAAGAAGTCCCTCTGGTACAAAGCCAGGTTAGGAGAAGGGAAGGCGCTGAAGAAACGCGAGAACAAACTAAGCAACGACCAAAGCTTTCGCTACACGAAGTGGAGGAGAGCCCAGCAACGCCGCAGCACCCACAGCGCCGAACCCCCGAAGCAGGAACGAGCCTTCGGCTTCTGACGGGCTGGAGAGGAGATGAGGGGGATGAGGGGGGGGGAGGGGAGACACCTGCCTGACAGGGCAGGGCTGACATACGGACCTCGGAACTTCAGAGAAAGGCCAAGGGAAGGCCTCGGCGCGGGCCCGGTACCGCCCCACGGCCACAGCGTTGTCGGAGCGGGACCCGCCGGAGCCCCACAGCCGGACGGGCCCTCCTCAGAGCGGGGAGACCGTTCCCGCGGGGCGAGGGGGGCGCTGAGGGAAACGGCCGCGCGCCGCCGGGCACGACGACAGCCGGCACCGCCCGCTCGCTCCCGCCACGATCGCGGGGCTCGGCGGCCGGCGGCAGGCCCGGGCCGGCAGGCCCGAGGCGGGGAGAAGGCACGGCTCGGCGAAGCGCTGCCGGCGCGGAGCCGACGAGAGCCACCGTCAGGCGGCGGCCCGTACCGGCGGGTGGGAGCGACTCCCGGACCAACCGCCTGCCCGGCCCGCTTACCTCGCGCCAGGGTAGGGACGTGCGGCGGCGCCGAGCCGCCCTCCGCACCGGGCTGCCAGCTGCGGGATCGGGGCGGGGGGAGGAGGGGCGGGGCGGAGAGGGTGGGCGGAGCGCGGAGCGGCTCACATCCGGGCATTGCCGCGGGGAGGGGCTGCGCGGGCGCAGTAGGGCGTCGCCTCGGCTGGTGGTGCTGTGCGGTTGTGTGGCGGGCTCTTCGTTTGTGCTGTCCTCTGGGTTGAGGTGCCTGCACCAACAAGCGGGGATTCATAGGATTATTAAAGGTTGGAAAAGACCGTTAACGTCATCTGTTTCAGCCATCGGCCCGTCCCCACCGTGCCTGCTGACCTCGTCTCTCAGTGCCGCATCCACACGGTTCTTGAACGCCGCCAGGGACGGTGACTGCAGCACCTCCCTGGGCAGCCTGTGCCGTTGCCTCACCGCTCTGTATGAGAAGAAATTTCTTCTAATATCCAACCTGAACCACCCCTGGTGCAATGTGATGCTACTCCTGCTCGTCCCATCGCCGCTGTCTGACCACGTTTGGCAGTAAGATGCCGGCAGCTGGGCAAGTTCTGCACCGTGTTTCACAAATCATTCTATAGCATAACCATGCATCTGTAATTTTTTTTTCTCTGTTCTCTGAGATGTTTCAGTCTTGTTAATTCAGTGAAGAGACAGTCTTAAAAATTCATATTTTTCCAACAGCAGATCTGTAGCTTAAGAGACTTGCCCCTTCCCTTTGGCAATTAGTCAATATTCCTACAGCAATTACATCAATTAAACATATAGGAGAAGCATTTTTGGAAAAGAATTTGTTGTATGACTGTCTTACTAGAAGCTCGCATCAGCAGCTAGATTCTCCTTTGAGAGTTAGATTCATGACTACAATTTAGGAGCAGTTTGGCTGCGTAATATAGAAAGTTTAGTTTTTTTAGCATGCTGCTACCTCCAACAACTTTAGTGAACTTTGACAGGAAATCAAGATAGCGCACAGTACCTCTGCCAATATTTGAGATCTGTATTTCAATATACATAGATAAATACGTGCATAAGTACATAAATGCATCCTTCATATGCATAAACGTGTACATAACATGCACCTAGCATACATGTACGTAAATATGTCTTACCATCTTCAAGTATTGGAACAGGCTGCCCAGGGAAACAGTGGAGTCCTCATCCCTGGAGGTGCTTAATGATTCCATGATTCTTGTTATTCTGGATTATGGTTTTGTACTCCATCTAACTTTACCCCGTGGATTCATTCTTTCAGGATATTTCAAGCTCTGAGCTAACATCTGCATTAGCAAGTAATAGGAGATGTTCTGAGTTAAATCAGCAGGGCTGAGGTTTACAGATGCACCAGCCTAGGGCGGCTTCAGCTCAGCCCAATAAATGCTGCCACCACTAGGGCTGGAGCGTGTTATGTATGTTCTGGGGATATGTCTGCTGGTTTGATGTCACTCAGAAGGAATCTGGCTGGCACTCTCCAAGAGGGAGCCTGACAAGTAGGAGCAACAGAGGGGGTTGCTTCAGAAGTTCATTGCTCATCCTCATTCAGCCTGAAGAAGCAAAGGCTTTGGGGGGATCTGATAGCAGCCTTTCAGCGTTTAAGGGGAGCTTATAAGCAGGAAGGAAATCAACTATTTACACAGGTAGATAGTGATATGACTAGAAGGAGAGGGTTTAAACTAAAAGAGTGGAAATTGAGATGTCAGGGGAAGGTTTTCACTCAGAGATTGGTGAGGCGCTGGCACAGCTGCCCGTGTAAGATGTGGTGCCCCATCCCTGCAGGTGTTCGAAGCCAGGTTGGATGGGGCCCTGGGCAGCTGAGCTGCTGGGTGGCAGCCCTGCCCATGGCACGGGGTGGGACTGGGTGGGCTTGGAGGTCCCTTCCAACCCAAGCCATTCCTCAGCACTAATGCTGAGGAACCTAGTATCGTACGTAGCATACATAGTATTCTCCTTCTGAGGTTCCAGGCCAGGAGAAAACTAAAGTAAGTGTGATCTGAAATGCATGTAGTATACTTGTTGGTTTTGGCACCGGTATGTTCTGCTTGCTAACACAGCCATCTCTCAGTTGATTTGATTATACATTTTCATGCTGGTGAGAATATATCGCTCCATCAGAATGACTGGAGACAAGTGTGGTGAACCTCAGCATTAGCCAACCAGTAAATGAAAGTGGAATTTTTGTTTATTTTTCTATTTTTTGTGCATGGTAATGTGTGACAGGTGTTCTCCCATAGATTCCCAGTTTCTTGCGCAGATTTCAAACTAACAGAGAGCACAAAAGTAGTACTTGAGAGCTACCCAGCATAAACTTTCTCTAAATATTCCTTTGTTAATATTTGAAGTATTTTGAAGATGATATTTTCATTTTGATACTAAAATTTTTAGTCCTTTTTTTATAATCTCAAACATTTTGTTGTTTCTATAGCTGTTAGATACACTAGATTAACTGTTGGGAAGCATACACAAGTTGCTGAATTATTTTTTTTTTAATATATAAATCAAATTATGTAGAGGCATTTTGCTTTACCTGTAATTCCCCCCCCCTTTTTTATCTGAAACAAGGAACTTCCCTTGATAAGTCTTCTTTCTTGACAAACCTCTCTGAAGCACAGTTTCTCCTAGGCAAATGGAGATTTTCAGCAGGTGCAGCGTTTGAAAAAGCTGATAGCAAGGAAATGTTATTTATAACTTCCTGTTACAGCTTCTTTTCAATGCATGATAGTCTGCTGTGACTTTACAGTGAATGCAGCAGCACATGGTCCCTTGTAGGTTATTGCAGGAGTGCAGAATTCTTTCCAGATGAAAGATACTTTAGTCACTGGTTTGCCTGTAAACTTCCTGGAGGATGATAAAAGCATTTTTTAATGTGATGGCTAGCTTTGTAAACTTAGCAAGATATTTTTACATCTTTTTTTCTTAGCACCATGAAGCAAGTAAAGCTAGGTTTTTCTCACATCCTTCCATGGAATAGTAATCTGCTGAACAGCAAATTTTTGTAAAGAAGCAAGCATTCTTGTAAAGCATTGCATTCCAAAACTCAAGAAAACTCAGGTAATGGAATAGAAGAATACAAGTAAACTTCCAGCTTTCCCACAGAAGGTGGCAGCATTGGAAGCACTAATTTCAGTTTGAGTGTTCGAGCTGATGTCTCCCCTGCTGATAGGACAGGAGCATCTCAGAAATGTGTTCTCCTCAGAGGATGTGGTGACTGTAAACAACAGTGCTTAGGGGCAGTTTCACTCTGAGTCTAGAGGACTTGCAGAGGAAGGAGAAACTGCATTCACACAGGCTGTGTTAGCAAGCAGAACACACAGGTGTTCAATCAACACACATGTTGATTGAACAGGTGTAAAGCCAGAAGGATTTTATTTTAACCTAGCTTTATTTACTAATTTTAAGTGTAATACTGCTGGAGTGCCTGTTAATGGCAGCTGACTCAAGAAGGAATTGCTGCGTACTTGCAGTCTGAGTTCTTGATCCTGTGTCCTACCATGGCAGTCCTGCTAGCACAGAGACCTTGCAGCCCCTTTGACAGGTTAACACTTAGTGAACCTGCCTGGCTGCTTATCAGGTACCTCATCTGGGCAAGGAAGTGGTGACTGACAGATGCAGAAGTAGTTGTTGCTTAAACCTCTCTGCTGTGATTAACCCTGCACACACTGCCAGTGCATCTGAAGAATTTCTCAGTCAGGTTAGCCAAAGCCACATGTGAAGCTGGTTTAGACTAGTGGTTTTCTAATCACTGTATGTATAGTTCCTTTAATGGACCGGAAAGGAAGCTGAGACAGCACGGGGATCTTATTCCTATCCTTTCTGCAGATTCATGAAGCCCCCATACTCTCATCCAAGAGGAGGGAAGAGGCTGGATTCTTGCATGTCTAGTAGGAAAAAAAAAAAAAAAGGACAGGAAAATTGTATCCCACAGAAGAGGTTTTTGCCAGTGAAGAACTGCTGACCATTGTGGGTTCCTGTGTGTTTGGCAGATTTTTGCTTTCCCTCTCTTGGAATGGAAACAAATAATAATATGTATGTGTATACATATATATGGCTGGGATATTTCTACAGCAGTTATCTGCAGTTGTTGTCTTCCAGGCTGGCAAGAAACATTGCTAACCTGCTTTGAGGAAGGGAACCAGCGTGTATGTTGGAGATATAGCTATGTCTGGTTTGCAGTGATTTGGGGCCAGGCCAGTGATTGTAAATGTGTGTCAGTTGTGCATGAGAGGTCCAAACAATTACAGAAAAAGGGAAGGGGCCCAAAGTCTGAAACGTTTGGGAACTGTTGAGAAAAACAAGCTGCTTTGTTTTGTTGGCTTGAAGGGCTCAAGCAATTGCCTACTGAATCTCAGTTGGAAGAGGCAACTTGCAGCTGAGAGGAGATAAGGAGCTTCCAGAAACACATATTGGATGTAACTCTGGAAAGGAGAGGCCTTTTCCAATCCCTGTAGTGGTCAGTCTAGTTCATAGAGTGACTGTGCTCCATGACAGTCAGCATGTGGATGTCTGAATGTTGATACTTGGTGCCTTACGAACACAACCATGAGGACCTGCTTCATGCCAACAGCATTAATTGCCATTTCATCAACAGCAGCTCTCATGGAGTTGTTTACTGCTCTCCATTGCCCATTCTGGTAAGTCTTGTAAGCCATACTTGTGTGTGTTCTGGCTTCCTAAAAAAAGCATTAATCCTTCTGTTCATTGTGAAATGTATGCAATGGGTTGGTTTCTTTGCATCCTTAGAAAAATATTTTCATTTCTATTCTAAATTTTCATTTTGTCTAGTCTATTTGACAAGACTTAATACATTGTACTCTAAAACCTTAGTCTTTGCTTAGATCCAGCATGGTTTCCGGGTGACTGAAGGCCTCACAAGTATAAACAGTACATTGCATAAGCTCCAAGAGCAAGCTGAGATTATGTTCTGGAGCATATGTGTAATAGGCACCCTCGTGAGCAGGAGGATTGCACTAGACAGTTTTTAGATTTTCCTTTCAACTTCAGCTATTACACAGTTCTGAAGCAAGAAGAAAGTTGCAATTACAAAGTGTCTGTGCCTTTGTGACTTGGAATTTTGTTCTCATTACCTGTCTTTCCACTAACGTGTTTTGCTAACAACGTTGTTCTCCCCATCTCCAACACCTGTTTCCCTATTGCTGTTTGCTTTCTCAGATTCCCATGAAAAGCCAAAGAGCCTATATGAATTCACACTTCTGAACAGAGTGCACATCCTGGACTCAGTATTTTAGCTTGCTAGTGAAGCTTTGTGTACAACATATAAAACACTACATAGGAAAATTTCTTATAGTGTTTCTTATTAGCTCTTGTGTCTCTTTAGCTCTTAAGTGTCTGTATCTTATATTTCAGAAAATCTGACCAGGAAAGTTTGAAGGTAACCACAGTAAAATTTGATTGTTGTCTCTCAGCATTCAGTGCTTTGGACAGAGCATTTTCCCCAACAAGATGTGAGCAAAAGCACTCTACATCGAGGGAATGACAAACACTTAATAGATACTTATAAAGAGAAATGTATCATGTGGATCTGTGTGTGGAATTGGACTTAAATGAAATAAGTGCAAAGAGACGGAACTTCTGCCATCAACCATGTTACTTTTATTTAATAAGTAAGGTGTGTTTTTAATATAAGTGGTTTTTTATTTTTATTTTGCTGCTGACTTTTCAACAGTACCGTACCCAAATGATTTTACAAATGTAATGCTCAATACACAGTTTATTGCTCATTGTTTTTGTAGGAACATAACTTCTATAATGGGAATGAATTTAAGAATGAGTAAGGCACCCTACTAATGTGCTGATTTCATCTGTTGTAGCAACATGCATAAAATTTCATTTTGCTTTTCCCACTGTCCTTATTAGGTAAGAAGTAAGTTAGACTTTATTATCTGTACAAAGCCCAATGCCTTACCTAAAAAGTCAAAACTTGAAAACGCTTCCTAATTTTTAACATAACCTCCCACCTTATAAAATTAGCTTTCATGCAGTGTATCTTGATTTCTGCTTTATCTGAAGGCAAAAGTTAATTCTGTTCTTTCCTTGCCTTTGCCTTTACTAGGATACTTGCCTTGCAAGAGGACTGTTCACATACTACTTAAGACAGATGACCTGACTTGCTTTGTATCCATGTTTTCTTCTTGCACTGACCCTGTTCAAAACATAATGAAAATGCAAAGGCATCTCCACTGCCTGATTTTGTGATGCTGGGCCCCAAACAATCATTAGCATGGGAGAGAACCTCCACAGAAGCCACTTACAAGATCTCGTTTCACTCTGCCCTAAATTAGACCTTCCCAGCAGTTTTCAAAGTTGTCCGTTTTCCTCGAGGATCCACTGTAGCTCTTTCTCTTTCAGGGCTGCAAACAGCACTGTCTCAGGCAGCCACCTCATAAGCCACCAGGGCAGCAATCAGTTTGTGGAGGCTTCAATGACTGACAACCTATTGCTGAAGTGCAGACACATGATCAAATAAGCAAACCAATGACACCACCATATCCAGCTCCCATCTTTCTTGAAACACTTTGTTACACTCTTATTGGAAATTATTGGAAAGGATAGCAGAGATAATGGATTCAGAATGATACATTTTTTAATTTAAAACAGACTATATCATAATTTCCTAGTGCTCTATGGTTTCTTATTTAAAACTGTAACGTTCTTGCAAGGTAATACAAACATAACAGACAGTTACCAGTTATATGGAGTATCTAGTACAGATATGACAATGCCCAGCTATACACAAACATTGAAATGCAAAATGTCTTTTAATTACATAAGTTATTACAGTACTCTTTTAAAGGAATCTTTTGGTTATATGTAAACGCTATACATAAGCCGCATAAAAAAATACACACGTAAAATGAATATGGCATTGGCATAGTTTAAAACACAGTAACTAGCCCTAAATCTGGATATTGTCAGGGTAAAACAGCAAAAGCTGATCAGTCTAATGCTACGGAATAGCATGCCACAATTTGGACTTGTTTGAAGAACCAGTGCTTCTTTGAGTTCCTTCCTTATGTTTTCTTAAGATCTTCAGCTAAGGAATGGGCCAACTTGTACTATGTTTGGCAGGACAATAAATGTTATTTTGAATGTTGCCATTTTAATATTAAAAGCCATCTAAATTAACTCTCCTAAATACGTACTGGTTTAAATTAAAATCTTGAGGAATTACAATCTATTTACTTGATGATTTTGGTTAAATGCAACTTGATGTATGCAGAATGCTGTTTCATTTAAGATCATTCTTAGTAAGGCATATTAAAAATAAATACAAAAGTGACAACATATTATTTAGTTTCTTGCTACAAAATCTTAGGCAAAAAATATTTTTGCGTGTAGTAATGGACTTTCTCCATTTGCTGGCTTATGGTAGTTAAAATTTGTGCATTAAGCTTAACTGCCCTTGTTGGAATGTGCCATTGTGCTATAGCCAAAGCTACATGCTAAAGATTTTGTTTCCATGCTCAAACACAGCTTGCACAAACTGCTTGAAGACTCTGTCCATGTAAGTGCACTTCCTTGGCCATATTCCTTCCAGAAAACCAATGTGGCCTCCACAAGAAGTCAGAACCAAAGCTACATTTGCATTTTGTTTGGCAGTTTCCACCGGTATAGCTAAAAGGGAGGAAAAAGAACTTTAGATATTTATTACACTATATATGAATAAATATGCACTATAAGCTTAAATGTAGAGCAGGAGTTAGAAACTGAGCTGTGTTAAAAGCCATTTCTGCCTCTTCAGGTTTTCTGTGTGATCCTTCTGGCTGCTGTAAAACTGTCAGAAATCATGTGTTCATGTTTTTCACTGAGAGGGAGACAAGGGGCTGGAACAGGCTGCCCAGACAGGTTCTGGATGCTCTGTCCCAGGAGGTGTTCAAAGCCAGGTTGGTTGGGGTCTTGAGCATCTTAATCCTGATAACCCAGGATTATCATTATTGCATCTGTTTTTCTATATGATTACACCTGTATGTTTAGACCACACCATGAAAATATAGCGAGAGATAGTGCTTGCTCTGAGGAACTCATCATCTAAACACACAAGGTAAGCAAATGATGAGGAAATGGGATAACACTGTCACCATATGAACTGGTCAACACAATGGCAGAATTTTATGGAGCTGTAGTGTTTGTGCTCTTGATTCAAGAAACTGTTATTTTAAGCAGTTTCCTCTGAAGTTTTACATACACTAAATATGCTATTCTCCTGAACAAGCAGAAATCTCTATACATTCCAGTAAAGAATGCTGTTTAAAGTTCCAGTTTACAAATAATAATCTTTGTGGTATAAAAACAAACAAAATAACAAAACAAAACAACAACACAAAACCACCAAAATTCATTCAGATTTTTTTAAATTATTCAGGACTGACAGAGCAGCAGGAAAAGAATACCCATTTTGTCCAGAGAGAAGGAAGTAGTAGGAATTTCACTGGATTTGTCTAAAAAAGGTTATGATTCCACAAGAAAATACATCCGATTTCAGGTCATACACTAAGTTAAAATTGCCTTGGCACCACAGCAGAAAGCAGTGACTTGTTCACAGGACTTTCAATGCTGCCCTATGCATTAAAAAGCATTTTTTAAAAGAGACATTAAATCAGGTTCACTTTAGGGTGGGTCAGTTGCCCATTTCCTTTCTGATCGAATTTTGTCCCCCCTGCTTTCTGGAGGTCTGTGCTTCTTTACTGCTTATGCATTTCCTGCAATAAAGGTGAATAGTCATTATCTTTGTACATCTTTACCTTTTCTATGCACACGTTCCCTCCTTTCATTTGGATTTTGGCAGGCTCACTGCTGCATGCTTCAGATGCCGATTTGCCCTCATTTTCATCAACTAAAGGAACAGCATGTTGCCCGTTCCTTAGCTAAAGAAGGACTGTCAGCTAGAGAAGCTGCATGGGATCTTGAATGCAGTGACAGTAGCAAACAGATCCCACCTTAAAATATTTTTGGGGAGAAGCACTGGATCTGAACGTTCATGAGAGCAGCCTGTGCCTCAGAAGTCCATCCCAGCAGTGCGCGGCACAACTCTGGCTCTGTTCCTCTCCAGGCCTCAACATGGATGCTAAAACCACTGCACATTCAGCACAGTTAGTGTTTTTTCTGAATGTTGTGTTATCTGGCTCCTGCCCATGATATAGGAACTTGATTGTGTACTGAGTAGCGCACAGCCTTTGAGCTCCAGAGAGCAGTGGGAATTCTCTTGCAAAGTTGAGATTCTTCATTACTCACTACTGTCCTTTTTTTCATTCTTTTAAAGTTGCATGCATTTAAGTAGATTGATTCCAGCATTTAGTAAGTGATTTCAGTCTTTTACTAAGTGGAAGGAATTGCGTTTCTCACTGTCTGCACAAAAATTGCTTCACTTTTCCTTTGTTCAGCTGGAAAATTGGAAATGCCACATGCAGGATCTGGGCCTTTTATAGCAATGCTGAGGCAAAGCTAAAAAGAAAAGTCAGTGAGGTGGCCAGACAGAAATAAGTAACAGCACTCTTCTGTGCTGGGTAAAGTGTGAGCCATATGCAGGTCTTTGTGAACATCATCTTCCCCATCCTGAATGTTCTTTATTCTATCTTACATTCATTTACAGCAGAATTCTGCCACAGATCATGCTCTTATCAAAAGCTGCAGCACTGTGCTGAATACGTAGCCATTTATTTCCATTTGCAGTGAGGATGTTCAGTAGCTGCCAAGTTTGACCTGCTGTTACATATCTGCTCTAACCTCCCCTACAGAGCACAGGAAAGCCTGTCCATGGCACATTCTCGACACAGTTAGGTCACCATTTGTATGATTTTTCTCCAGCAGAGTTTCTTGCTCTGCAGCTTCTCAGGAGAGAACTGAAAAATGTGCCAAAATGCAAATGATGCATTTTGGCACATTTGGCAACCACATGATGCTTCTCTCAAAGCTGTTTCCAGGGACTGTTAGCTATCCACTAATAAGCCCATAGTGCAACAGAGCAAATTCTGCAATGTAAAGTGCAGAAAATGGAGCACTGGATATGATGCTCTCTGGGTTACAGGGTTGCATGCCAAAAGACATTACTATTCATCTTTGTCCAAATCTAATCTTGTACGTATGCTTCCACTGACCAAAATTTGTACTGCTGCTTGATCCAGCAGTGCACAGATCTCTAATTTGTGATCACAGAATCACAGTGTAAATACCCATGCAGAATTACCTTGTTCAGAATTAATTTGTTGTGGTATCTTTGCAGGACAACAGAAAAACTAGGATATTTACAGAAAAGGGGCAAAGTAACACCCAAGAGAAATTATATCAAGTTTGGATTCAGAGCATTGGAGATGTTCAGTAAAAAGCACAGTACCTAACTTCAAGGGTAGGGTTTCAGCTTAGACACAACACACACCAGCAGCAATTAGCTAAGCACTAGTATGATGAAATTTAAGTTGGATGCCTAATATGTCGCTGAAAGTCTTTGAGGAGAAAAATCCACTTCAGATGAAAAGTTAAATGTGACACTGATACTGAATGCTGTCATTCCATCTTCTTAATTTATTTTTGACATTTACAAAATAAAAGGGCTTGACCTAATTGTATTACATATTTCCTCAAGCAATGGCTTGTTTCAATTATTTTGGTGAGAGACGCAAAGAAAGCATTTGCTTTCATTAGTTAGTAATACGTGATATGAGAACTGCATTCCAGAATTAAAGTACAGATACATCAACTGCCAAACTCTGTGAACATTTAGGCATCAACATTAAGGATGTGCAAATGAATTGTGTCTTTCTAACCCTGAGTTAATATCAAAGCATGTATTTTCAGAATATATTAAAAAAAAATTGCTGGGAAGTACAAAGCATAGAAGCCATGCAAGAAGTTTTCATGTAATAAGAGGCAACAGAGCCAGCACTTGCACTTTATAAACAATGTCTCTCTTCAAGTGCAAATTGTGTATTGATAAAACAGACTTGGGTTTGCATTCCTCAAACTCTGGAGTAGGAGGACAGGTGTGGCTGGCTTTATAAAAGATCTTTAATCACAAAAGAGTTCTGGCAGAGCTTTCTCTCCAGTGAGTTTTCTAGGCCTGTTTCCTAGATAGAGGGCTATCTACAAAAGGAATTGAAGATACCTTAAAAGCTGGCATGCATTACTGGGAGAGATGAACCACAATGAGGCATGAAATAATCAGTTCCCAAAGAGAGCAGAAGACTGAAGTCTGGTTGAAAAGGAAGTTTGTGCCTTTGAATCCCCCATGTAGCTGTCACTGGAAAATCTCTCTGGTTGCCATAGGCTTACATGTGTTCACACACTTTAAAGTTCAAGCAAAATGAAACAAACAAACAAACAAAAAACAAACCAAAACAAACAAACCAACAAACCAAAACAAACAAAGTCACTCTCCAGAATAACACCAGCCTTGTAGGTTTGATAGCAAAGGACAGCCGAAGCGTCAAGATGGGTGACCTCCAGCAACTGACGGTAGTGGCTGCAAATTCTAGGCTGTTAATTGGGGTGCCCTGTGTTTCCTACCAGCACTCAATGCAAAAAGTTGTTACATATGGCACCAACTAAAAAGGAGTCAAGGATACACATCTGTAACAGTCATACTATTATCTGTGTATCAGTATTTTTTCTGGTGACCTGTTCTAGAGTAAACGAATCACCATCACGACAACAGTGCAATTCTGTGAACAAGAAATAAATGAATGCCTGCTCCCACAGATGTTTTCATTGAGAACGGCAAGCTAGAGTCAGAGTTCTAGAGGGGATGGACAGTCTCTAGCAGATAGCAACATTTATTATTTCAGATTCTTCATGATGCTCTACTTCACCTCTCTCTATACTGCAAGACACCTTAGGCATTTTTTATTGTTTAGCTCTAAGAATAGGTTTGATCCTTAAACAAGAGACCATCCTTATAATCCACTGTTCACCAAGAGCCATGTTTCATTTAAAGACCAGTTCCAAGAGAGGAGAAATGCAGTACAGCCATACTCCAGGGGACTCAATCCAATGGTTTGTCAAGCTACAGAATCCCAGATCCAGTGAATATGGATCCTGAGATCATCTAGCTCACTCCCTCTCAGACAGGACCAGATAGAACAGGCTGCCCAGAACTGTTCAAAACCTGATGGACACACCTCTGTGGGTGGATGTGTTCAAACAGCTTATTCAGACAACCTTCTCCAGTGTGTGGCCAACCACAAAGGGAAAAAAAAAAAAAAAAGAAGTGTTTACCTGTGTTCAGTCTTAATTTCACGATGTCAGATTTGGGGGATGGAGTATCTGTGCACTAGCTGTAGTCTATCTAGCAAAGGTCCCACTCCCAGTGGGAATAAGGTTAACGTATTCTCGGAGATACAAGTACGCTGTCTAGTTCACCACTGCAGCTACTTGTGCTAACTAGCCAGCTTACTCCTGTCACAGTATTTCGTTTTTGAATAGAAACCACAAACCAAGCTAAAGCTAAACGGGTGAATCAGAGAGGCAGAAACATAGCACACTAGAACACCTAGTGGTACTATGGGGGAAGTCATCCATGAGTAAACAATTATCTTCAGAATGACTAGCCAGATTTTACATTTGGATACAGAGTTGAAGGTCATAGCCATATCCATTATCATTTCCAAGTCAGTGTATGCTTGCAGCAGGAAAGTAACTCAAGAAAAAAAAAATCCTACAGAGGCTAGTAAATAAAACACTGTCTTATTACATTTCTGAACTATTAATTGTCAAAGGTCAATGAAGTATTCTGGAAGAGTATCACTATGTTTACCTTGATCTTACTTTTTTTTTTTTTTTTTAAGGTCACCGTTTTGGCCAGTGTAAGGAATAGGTGGCTGCCAGCTCTTTATATTGTTCCTGAGTAGCACAGACAATTTTTGTTCAAGAGGATAAAAAAAAAAAAAAAAAAAAGACTTTTTTTCTAGTGCACTCCACTGGAATGGCCCTTTTCTGTTCATGACACATTTGTCTCTAACAGGTCTTCAAAATACTAACATAAAATATGTGCATTTTTCAGTGTATGCTTTATATGTGGGCATACATAATAGAACATACACGTGTATACAGTATCTTTCAGTTCCTTCATTCTTCTGTTTGTTGTTCTAATCTGTTTACCAACTTCAATTTTGTGATTCATTCTACAATAATCTCACTTGACTTGTGGTAACAGAAGAAAACTTCCTTGAGATAAATCAACAGAATGAACTTTGTATTTAAAGGTATCAGATGCTCACTACATTGGTGTTCTCAACCAGCTGTTCATTATAGTGATTTTCTTATACATTAACTTTTGTTTTCTTTTCTCTCTTCTTTCTTAGACACTGTAGCCAATACACAGACTGCGGGAATAAGCAGATCTTTTTTGAGACAGGTTTTTTATTGATTATAACACATCCCCTTTTAGAAGCTCAACTCTTCTGTATCTTTTCTCTTGCCCTAGATTTTGGTCCACATGCTTTCTTCCTTTTTAATTTTCAGGGACTGGATTTCATATCATTGGAATCATGAGCAACAACAAGGGAACTCTGAGTCACCTGCATAACCCTAGACATAAGCAAACCCTAGACATTCTTTGTAGGGACTAGGGAAAAAATGGTAACAAAGAATATTTGCTTTAAATTCTGTTAACTCTGGATGCCTACAGTCCAGACATCTCTAACTAAGCTCCTTGTTACAGGCTGTCTCCATACTCAGTTAATAGAAAAAGGCACTTTTGGGAGAGCAATACATCTGGTAGCTTTCTTACAGTGAAAAAAAATAAAAATAAAAATAAAAAAATTTAAAAAATCACACCCTAAATGCCTGTATTTCTTTGCTTTTATACAGAGACTAAAAGCTAATAGCTGCCACCCCATATGCTTCTTCTGTGTTCTATTCTAATCAGGCCCCTCTGTACCCAACTGTTTTGTATGAGTTTTATACTAAGTAAACTGCAAGACTGACCAGCTCCTGGAGGTTGTGATCCTATGTATAAGTAATATTTACATACAACAAAAAAGCTAAACTTACCATGACCTGGTGAGAAAACATCATCCACAGAGTTTAGGCATAATACTGGAATGCCTACAGACTTCAGCTTGAGACATGGGCTGGCATCTTCATAGTAATCATCAATTGTACGGTAGCCAAACATGACTGAAGTGAACTGTGTATCGAATTCTCTAACAGTTCTAGCCTGAAGTACAGAATTCAAACAGGGAATTATGTCAGCATTTGGAAAACACCATCAAAATAAAGTGAAAGTAACATTTTTGCATACCTTCATCACGAGATCCATATCGAATAATTTCTCCAGCATTTGCCGATGCCTAGAGAGAAAGGAATAAAAATTGTAGGGTTATATGAACAGATGTAGAAGCCCTCTGGTCCATAGATACATTTGTATAGACAACTCCCTATCAAGAACATGCCTTTTTTAAATTTTATTGTATGAAAAATCTGCCTGTGGAAATCAAGAACATAAGAATCGTTCATTTCTTTGCAGGCACATCCAGCAACATGGTCAAAATCTGCATTAGTCATAAGAAGCTGACATTCAGAGAATTAAATATTTGAAATATAAAATACAACCTAATTTTACAAAACAAAGGATGAACTAATTCTCTCCACGTTTCTGCAATCAAAGCTGACTTAAAAGAATTAGTATATACAACACATGCATATAAGTATACAACTCAAGCTCTATATGTGTAGGTGTCTAAAAAATTAAATTGGCGAATTCCATAAATCCAGAAGTACATTAATCTTCTGCTGACTCCCCAGATGAACAGAGAAATGTAGTCACATTGATGACAATTTTTCTTGCAAAGATCCCTTTGATTTCAAAGCCAGTAGAAAAATGCATGCAGGACAACTTTGTAAAATGTTGTTACAGTGTTAATTTTCCCAGTGTTATTGTACCTGCTATAGACCTTATGCTAACATCCTTCCATCTTGCCAAATAGTTTAGAAGGCAACTCACCTGCTGATAGAGGATTGTAGACAAGTAGTCAAGTAATAGTTGAAAAGAAGCCAGTTTAGCGGCTTCTCCAGAGATTCTACAGATTCAAAAACATTCCAACCCGCAGAGAAAATTGCAGCTGCCATTAAAGGAGTGTCTCTGCCAGTTTTGCCCAGGTAATTTAAAAGAAGCATGCTACAAACAGAAATGAAAAACAGAAACATATATACTATCAAGTTATTTGCTTTAGATTGAAGCAAACATAAAAATCAGGCATCTTTTTGTCTGCTTTTTCTTACAGCATGAGCCTTACAGTTGTGCCTAATACTTCTAAAAAGTAGTCAATGTTATCAGCATATGACTCATGAAATTTGCTTTCTCTCTCTACATTCAGAAAGGAACCGAGTGCATCGTGTGGGAAGTGGGTGGAAGTGCATTTAAAAATAAAGATACATGTGCTAGTCTTATTTATATCACTGAAGGGGAGGAAAACATCAAGCAAATATACCTTACTCATGGAACAGGTACTCTTGACTGTTAGTGGGTTTTACAATTTTACAACTCTTAGACTTCCTGAACCAGTAAATCTAATCAGTCTGCCTGATAAATGCACACCTGGCACACTTGCATCATTATGAAACTGTCTTTGGAATTGAACGTAATGCCTTTACCCCACTTCAGACACATGAGAGAACATGTTTTCTTTAACAGAAAGCATGTAAAGAATGAAATGATAGATAATTAATAAAACTAACAAATAATGACTCAAAAAACTAGTATAAATCTTGCCTTTCTGACCAATTGCGACTTACAGCCTGTACTGCTGATGTTTAATTGAGTTGGAAAAAAGGGAGAGTTCATGAGTACCTGACTCTTCAGATGCTGAAAAATTAAATTAGCAAGAAGATAGTAAAAGAAAAATAACTGTTTCACTTGACTGCCTGATACCCCAAAATTTCCAAGCAGCATTTTAACATCAAGTCTTGAAGTCAAAACATTAGAAGCTCCAGAAATTAATGTAGCTTCCTGGATCACCAACACTCTATACCTTGGCTTCATCTGTTGTACTGTAGGAGACAGCCTATAGCAATGACAATGTAAACCAGCCTGCCATCACAGAGAATTTATCCCTGCACACTACCACCAAATTGCAGGATAGCAGTACAGAAGGGAGATGTAGGTTCCTGCCTACTCACCAGTTGGTAGGAATAAGCAGGAAAAGAATAACTAACAGTGCTGGGGAATGTGTGCCTGCAAACTACTCAAGTTAAACCCAACGAGGAAAGCTGTGCGTGATACATATAGGATCTAGGTAGTTTGTGCTCACAGAAAAGGAGGAACCTATGAGCCATCCATAGGTTGGGTCTATATACTCCAAGAAGAAAAATGAGCCATAAACCAATTAAAAATGTTGCAGTAGCAGAAGAAACCGCTTCTAACAGCATTTACAGAACATATGTAGGGGAGAGAAGGTTTAGGAATATTTATGTTAGAAAACTAAATCTCTTTCCAAAATAATATGTACCAAAGATCAGACGATTATTTATATTGATACCTTTGTAAAGTGAATGTCTATGTTTCTTTTCAAATGGGCAAATACATCCTATGTAACTTAACTGGAAATTCATAAAAAATTGGAAAAAGATAAATAATGAAAAATATTGTAAGTTTTGGACAAGGGGATGATATTCACAATATCTCCTGGTGAAATCTCTGCTCTTGCTTAATTTTAAACATGTGAGTGCTCCAATTAATTTTGAAGTATGGAGACAGTCCCCATGTGGACTTTTGATTGAGTTAAAAAAATATATCCTGAAGGTGGAAGGTGGGGCGGGTGGCGTTTGGCTGCCAAGGAGATACAGTCATTGCACAAGCATGCAGAAGATGCTATGGAATACCTGATGTTCAGCTGGAATTAGAATTGGGAAGGAACATGAAGAACAGGAAGGGCTTCCCTAAGTACACTGGTAACAAACGAAATGCTCAGAACAGCGTCCACTCCTTACCCCTCAACAATGAAACCAGTTATATCACCACAAAAGGCAATCAGATCATTCAAGCATACCGTGTCCTTGATAAATCCAGTCTCATCCTTTGTGTGACTGGAAATGGCTTTTAGAGGATCTCCTCAAAGAATGAGGCTGACCAACCTGCATTCCGCCCTGGACCAGGGCGGGATCTTAGGAACAGGGGATCTTAGGACAAAACATTTATAAAATGCCAAGAGTACCTTTCATTTTCTGTCTCTACTGCTCAAGTTAGGTCTGTTCTCAGACCTACTAGGTCCCTTTGCCTAGTGGCAGAGTATGGGAGACTGTAGTGTTACTTATGGAAGAGGAAGACTGAGCGAGGACTCAGTTATGCAAACTGGACATATATGGGATGAACTATGGTGCACCAAAGCTCCAGAAGGAGAGAACCAAGGTCTCTGTGAAATTGCTATCACTTTTGAAACATTGCAGCAACTATAAGATATTCCTGATGCCTGGAAAAAAAGTACATGTCACACACTCTGCAAAAACAGGAGGAGGAAATACAGGCTGGTCAGCCCAAATTTGGGACTCTCATCTGGATGCCATTTCCAAGCATGTGAGAATAAGACAGTGATTGGTAACAGGCAAGGACAAAGCATGCCTGACTGACTGCTCTAATAAGCTGACTGCTTTCAAAGAATATAGGAAAGGAGAGAACGTTGCTTACTTTGACTTTAGCAGGGCTTTTGACAATGTTCCATGGTCTCCATGCAGCCAGTGGAGAGACAGAGTATTAATAGGTGACCTGTAACATGGTGGAAAACTGGCTTATACTACTAGGTTCAGATGGCTGTGATCAGGAACGTGAAATCCACAACTGAAGGAGTTGGATCTAACATTATGTTCCTTTGGGATCAATACTGGGGCTGATACTGCATAACACTGCATTAACAACTGCATAATGAGATGAACTATAACCTTGGTGGGCTTGCAGGCCAAACTATGGAGAGTGGCAGGTGCAAAAAGACAAAGCTGCCATCCTCAGTGCCCCAACAGGCTGTAGAAATGGACTGGCAGACACTTTGTGAAGTTCAGCGAAGGCAAATATGAAGTCTTACACCTAAGACAGATTCATGACTGGAGAAAGAGTGGCACTGCTGAAAAAGACTGGGCAAGCCAAACATAGATCAGCAATGCACCCTGGCAGCAATGAAGATTAACAATATGCTGTGCTATGTTAGTACAAGCATAACAAGCAGGTCTAGGCAAGTGATTCTTGCTCTGGCACTTAGGAGGTGGTATCTGGAGTAGTGGACCCAAACCTGGACTATCCGGAAAGACTGATACTGACAAACTGAAGAGGTCCATATCTCTTTATCCTGAATATACTGACCAAATTTCAACAGCAACAATGGAAAAACATTGGCCTAAGTGATTTAAAAGGCTTCCAAGTTCCTGATTTTAGTAATAACTACAATGCTTGAATAAGCCCATATTTATCCCAAAGCTCCTACAAGTCATTAGTAGATTAATGTCAATGTACAGGTCTGTTATCTGCACACTGTCCATAAAACTCATGACAAAGAAATCTCAAAGTTTCCACTGTGCCTGCTATGTTTCTAAGGGAAGCTCTCTGCTCGTCCAGTTTTTGTTCAAGAGGCTGTCTGAACATTTCTCCTACTTTCTAGCAGTGATTTTTCTAGCAACTGTTCTATCACTATGTGTTCTAACTATGCTTTTTGGACACAAGCCAGGACACAGCAAGTCTTAACACCACATGCTAAAATCAACCCATGCTGGCTTCAGTAACAATGCTACTGCTTGCTTTTGAGCGAGACAGAGCAGATACCCACATCTCTTCCAGCACAACCTACCCACACACTGCAGAGCCCAGGCAGACTGAAAATCTTTTTAAAGCCTGTAAATTCCAGAGACTGTTAAGAAAGATATTTTACACAGGTACATTAGCTCTAGTCTCTATTTTATATTCCTTTGTTCCAAAGATGGTCTTCATAGCTTCCACAGATTATATAGCCCACCTGTTTCTCTGTCAATCTGTCAGTGTTCCCTGTTTGTCCCTCTGTTCTCCTCCCTCGTATCTTTTGAACACTGGCCACTTTCTGCCTTACCTGACACAGAGCTAAAAGCCTCAAGGAAGTTAAGCTTCTAAAAGTCTTCTGAACATTCACAAGTACAGACAGACCAAAATTAATTGCAGTAAGTATTGCCAAATAATTACAATTTACAATCATGCTGTAACAGTCTTATTAAGATCACAGATAAGCTGAGAGTTCTGTTACATAATACCTTACCCTCCCATAGAAACACCTGCTGCCATGAAGGGAGCTGAGGGCTGCAAGTTGTGTATGTGATGAATAACTGCCTCCAAATCCTCCGTGTTAGCTGCACAGTAAGTCCTTGGAGTCTGTAAGGAGTCATAGGGAAAAATGCCACCATAAGCTTTTTTATCAACCTTTAAGGACAAAGCAAACTGTACAGTGGGGCATTTATATAACAAGATAAATTTAACACTTATCCTGAAAGTGCATTAAATAGCAAACAGAAACCCAAGCATTTCAGGAGGAGGTGGACGAAGAAGACTCTTGCTATCATTACAAAATAAAATAAGTAGTAAAGATGTTCACTACCTGCAACTATCAAATCATTAGGTGAAGTCTGACCACAGAGTCACTAGCTAAACTAGATAAAACTAGACAAGCACCAGTATTTTTAAGATAACCTAAGGAAATGAAAACCATCATAAAGGTTATAATTTACTAATAAAAAATAGGTATAATGACAATTTGACCATCACCATGCACATTCAAATGCCAAAGAAAATACTAGATTTCAAGTTCTGCCAGCTCAAACTTGAAAGGTAGACTATATTTAGATTCTATACACAATATGAGCAAATAAATAAAAACTCAGTATGCAGTTTACCCACTTTACTACTATACTCTATTAACAAAAGCAACGCAACTCTATCTACCGGCTGCAGCTCTTCAGATCTTGAACTGGAATGTGGAATGCCTCCCACTGCCATCACTGGTACTTGGATACTCCCCTCCCTGCTTACCTGAAGGTAGGATAAGCCTGGCTTTTGAGCCTCACCTGCATACAACTACCACAGGTCACAACCTGAAGACTTTGTGGAGCAGAGTAAGAGAGCTAAATGCTTACAGGAACAGTAGGAATCACAGTGATGGGTTTTGGGGTTTTTTTGTTTGTTTGTTGTTGTTTTTCTAATGGTGTTCTCTAGATTTCTTCAACAGCAAGAGAAATTTTAACTCTGTAGTTGTTACTAAACATGTTAGTGACCTCGACTTAACTTAAGGTAGTGGCCAGTCTGCCAGAATTCAGTACAAACGTTAAAACTAACTATAAAAGTATTCTATTTTAAATTAACTGATTTAATTTTTGTTGCTTGAAGCAACACTGTATTTTAAGGTGTTTTTTTTTTCTTCCTTTTTTGTTGCTGTTTTAAACTGTTTTCAGTTAAACAGCTTGGATGTTTGTGGACAATTTTATCAAGTTTAATTAGAAGAAGTTAATTACTTGAAGTACACTTAACATGAATATTAAAATGTTGAAGTAAAAGATTAAAAAAAAAAAAGGAGAGAAAACTAAATCTGGATAATTAAAGCTGAAGATGTTTTCCATTTATGTTGCATTTCCAATTCTCATCCACATGAATCACTGTACCCTTTATTACATCCTAGTAATTATAAATGGTGCAAATGTGTTTTATTTTAATTAAGTTGTCAAGTTTACAAGGAAAAATAAATTACATTTAGTAAATAAGGTCTAATGTCTTCTAAGTGAAAGTATATCAGATTAAAAGTTTATAAAACTAACTAAAGTTATAAAACTATTTAATTTCAGTTAATTCCTGATACTGTTATCAGGATACCTATTTATTGTACTAAGGTATTTTAAGACAGTGTCTTAGCTCACATTGGCTGTGGTCATTTAGTATTTGACTATTCCATAACAACAATTCACAGTAACTTTTAATTAAAAAAAAAAAAAGACAGCTAATTTGTTTAGCTGATTCCCTATACAGCTATCACATAGTGTAAATTTACATCCATCTTTAAAGAGATGAGAAAAATAATTACTTGCATGACTAACTTCCACTGTGCTGCTCAACCATGCTTCAAACTCATTAACTAGGGATTTCATGTTGAAGTAAAGAAACCCCCTTACAGAAAACGTTACAATTTCAGCTGTTTCGCTTCACAGTAAGAATTTATAATGCTTAAACATGTAAATCCGATTACACTAAATTGCACACAATGCATCCAAACAAGAGATCTTTTCTGTTAGCGTTTCAGAAATTCATCAATAAGGACTTTGTGTGTCACAAAACTGCTTTGTACATCCATCTCCAGAAGTATGCAGAAAACTACCCTAACATGGCAATATTTGCATTGAAATATTTTATCTGATTATGGGAAAACATTCAGAGCTTTTTAAGTTTGAAACCAGGGGATTAAAAAATGCAAAACAATACCGAGCATTATGCACACTCATACCAGCTGCAAAACTCTCAACAAAACACATATGAAGAAACAAAGCTTATTCAGCAGTATTTCATCACGCCTTGTGCCCAGCTGCAGGAAATGTTTAGCTCCACAATGTTATCATCTGTGGGACTGCCAGTTATTTCTAGGCTAACGTGACATGTATGTCTCAGACACACAGCAAAGCTATTTTGTAGCTGAGTTTGTGTCATAATTGCAGAGAAATACAGAAAAATGCATTTCATTTTTAGACACGGCTATCCATATAAATCTGCTTCATTAATTCAGTAACACATAATACAGATCAATTTTAACAGCACAAGCTTTTAACCACATCAGAATTTAGCTTAAATTGATACTGGCAATCGTAAAAGTAATTACCACTGCTCCTACTCAAAAACAATTTTGTCTTGACCAGTTGGTCTCTGAGATTTAAAATAAAAGGTTATATCTGCTCGTTATTGATCTACCAGATGAGATGTTCTTCTCTGCATTTTCAACATATGCTATGAGCCTCTCTGATCTAAATAGAGCCTTACCAATAGACACCGATGGTTATATATATACTAATTACACACGAGAGATGTTTATCTTAACATTCATCCTTACCAGAAGTTCCTCGCCAGCAATTCCTCGATTGTTAAAAACCACACATCTGAAAATTGAGAAAGCAAATTCAATTATACGGATTGTTTGTTCATCTTAAAAAATAATGCGCGCACACAAATGAAAATACATAAAGAATTACAAGCCAGTTCAGCACATAAACATTCACTGCTCTACAGATGCTGAAATCTGACAGGTGCAGAGTGACCTTTATACCAGAATGGGATTTCACTGAAGTCAATGGGACTGTAAGTGAACTCTGTGATCTGTCAGTCTAGGTCAGACTGCAGGATGAGAACTGCATGGCTTACCTGACAACAGTGCATGGATCTTGCTTGCCTGCACTCAGAGCTGGCCAATTACAGGCTGTAAGTTATGCCAGTGCAGTGCTGAGCCTAAAGCAGTGCTCTGCAAAAGGAGAGCTACATGCAGACATTCTCCATCACACATCATTTTATGAAATAGCAATAAATGACCCAAATCAAAACTACAACAGCTGCATCTACATTATGTACAAGATCTTTTTTTTGTCCTGCACAGCAACATTTCTGCTTTCTCTATGTTGGAGTTGCTGAATTTTCTAGCAGTTACATGTTGCCTTAGGAATAAACGCTTTCTTAATGAATCTTATTTTTCTATTGCTTTTCTACCATGTCATTGGGATAACTTTGTTAAATAAAACATACACATTTAGATGGGTTAAAGGCATGTGAAAAAATAAATAATGAAAAAAATGACTTACTTTGCTATTTTTCAAATGTTACTGTTTAAAAACAAAACCTGAAGTTCTCCTTTTTAATGTTATATTTTCCTTTGTTAGGTGATCAGATGCAGATTTTTCTTTTGGGACTATTTTAAAAGCAATTCTAAGTTGTTGATCTGGGGTCTTTCTTCCTCTAGTGCTGTTTACAAATAAGTTTTGAAGCACTAGTGATTTTAAAAGCAGTTTAAACAGCTAAGAGTGCTGCTGTATTTTTACAATTTATAAAGCAGTCACCCAGATGTCCAAACAGAGAACAAATAGCCAGAAATGAGCACAAACACTCATATATACTTGAAGAACTTCATATTGTCAATACCAGAAGCCAGTCTGCAGTTACAAAATGCCACATTTCAAGCAGCAATCTTGGAACAATGACAATGTATTTTAAAGCACAGTTGCAGGAATATGATTACATAAAGGAATTTACTCATTGACTAATCCACTCATTATACCCAATTCTGACCAGAAGCCTTAATAACAAAACTAAGTTACACAGTGGCAGTCAAGAGGTGACAAACCTCTTCCTGCAGCATTACCAGTATGAGTGGGTTGGCTTCCCTTTCTGCACTCACGAATTGAAGGCTACTGAATCGGGCAGTTCTGGCATTCAGCAGCTGACCTCCTCCAGTGCCTGCTGCCAGCAATCCATCCACACAAGGCTTTGTGAAGCTGAATACAAACCCCTTCTCAAGGAAGTGTGAAGGTACACAAGTGCTGATGCTATAGTTTAGGACACGGCAGTAAAGACCTATGCAGACATAGCTTGTGTTCACTGCAATTTCTGGAGCACATATGTAGATACTAAAACAGATTTTTAGAATTTACTGCCCATTACATAATTTGTTGATTATTATTATTATTACCTCTAATACTTTCTTATATAAACTAATTTCCCTAAATCTCATTTACTTTAGGAAGATGCCTCCTGCATACACCTATTTGACCTTGCACGCAAAATACAAGTAATGAAATACAACAGCACCTATATCCCAGTGTTTCACTTTGATGGATCATATGAAGAATGTAGGATTCCTTGCTTGTTCCCGTCAGACCAGGCAATAACAGGACTGTAGGTCTTGTGCTGGCATCCGGATAATATAAGCTGTCATTATTATCAAACCAATCCAACGAAATCTGTCCTCCATCTGCTGTTCTAATGAGCTCACTGAAAGGCACATTTTAAGACAACCATGATTAGATTTTAAAACGTATGCATTCTAATATGAGTGCTTAAACTGTAAAAATTACCAGGTATGAAATCTACTTTGTTCGTTGTGTTTTAACAATAAAAGTACCACCTCAGTATATTTACAGGTACAACATTCCTAAAGAATCAGACCTCCAGGTGACATGAGTTAGTGCGGTCAGTCATGGCACAACTCCAGCTTACAGTCAATGAAGAGCTGACCTTTCATCGTTTGCTGTTGATGTAGTGGAAGTTTGGAACTAACGTGGCTTTTGGCACTGTCTCCTATTTTATGTAGGCTTGCCTACTACAGTTTTCTTTTCCTTTGTGTGGTCTGAGAACCTTTTGATAGCACTTTGGGCAGCATGCTAAAAATCTATCACGTGTTTTTTTCCCTCTACTCAAAGAAGCTGTGAGTACAGGGGATGACACTTTGCTATGCTTTTAACACATGGAACACAGACAGACACTACTCCATTTTTACAGTATCAGCAAAGCCAGAATTTCACCCTGTATCTCCACCAACTTTGCTAGCATGAACTCCTAAAATATGTATCTTCAGAATGTAGCAAATGTGATACTATCCCAAGAAGCTGAGCATGCATTAAGCAATGCAGTGGTTTCAGTGTATATATATATGTATTTATTTATTTATTTATTTATTTTAATAGACACATACAGAATCTTCCATTTTCTCTGGTAATGAATACATTGTGTGAGGGAGTTAATGTAGAAACTTTTAATTTAAGTCCTCTTTGCATTTGATTTTTCATTTGAAAATACAGTTTTGATAGAACTTCCTACAGATTTTAAAGCTAATCAGCCTTCTTGAACTCATAGTGTCAGCTTTGCCCTTTTTCAGTAGTGGGCAGTAGATGTAACTCTAGCATGTACTGCCAACACAATCTCAAATGGTGCAAATTAAGCTTTGCCCCATGAAACTACATTTCTTTCCTCACAAACCTTGCAACAGAGAGTATACAAGCAAGGCTACAAAAAATGGACATGGCCACGCTACTGAAATGTTTCCTAGTTACTAAAACTAAGGGAAACTGCTAAATGCTAAATCTATTCTACCATGCAAACAGAGCTGAAACAACTTGTGCTGTGTCCAGGTTCCGGAGCATAAAAGTATTTCTCCTTAGCTCTTGTGCCAAATGCCTCATTTGCCAGACTTAGTCTCACTTCTGTGTGAGAGAGATCAGCTAAGGACAAACAATACATTTAATTTCTTTCCTCTTAGAATTTAGGCATCAAAGAACACAAGATAAACCTGAGAGGTAAAAGTAACTCAGAAAATTCCAGACGTCTGCAGTTTTTATATTCAGAACTGGGCTGAGAGCAGCCGTGCCATGATTAAGGTTGAACATATTGGTTAAATGAACGGAGACAGTGATAGTATTACCTTTCAAAAATGAAAGCATTCAATCACCAGAGTATTTGATGCACCAGATGACTCTGCTGCCATCCAGAGGGATCTCAACAGGATGGAGAAATGGGTTCACAGGAACTGCTTGCAGTTCTACAAAGGGATGTACCAAGTCCTGTACCTGGGGAGAAACAACCCCCAGGCACCAGAACATGATGTGAGCCACCCAGCTAGAAGGCAGCTCTGCAAAAAAGGACCTGGCGTCCTGGTGAACACCAAGATGAAGGTGCGTCAGCAGTATGCCCTTGCCACAGAGAAGGCTGATAGTATCTTGGGCTGACTGGGCAAAGTCTCACCATCAGGTCAAGAGAGGTGATTCTATTCAGCACCAGTGAGGCCACACCTGGAGTGCTGGTCCAGTTGTGTGTCCCCCAGCACAAGAGAGACATGGACACACAGCAGAGAGTCCAACAAAGGGCCATGAAGATGTTGGAGAGCATGAAACATCTCTCCTGTGAAGACAGGCTAAGAGAGCTGGGCCTGTTCAGTTCAAGAGGGTAGCCATCAACATGTACAAGTACCTGAAGGGAGAGAGCAAAGAGGACAGAGCCAGGCTCTTTTCGGTGGTACCCAGTGTCAGGACAAGAGGCAATGGGCACAACTGGAACACAGAAGGTTCCCTCTGAACATCAGGAAGCACTTCTGTGCCATGCATGCGATGGAGCACTGGCACAGGTTGAAGAATCTCCTCCTTGGAGATCTTCAAAAGCTGCTGGGACATAGACCTGGGCAACCTCTAGGTGAGTTAGATCAGATGACCTTCAGAGGTCCCTTCCAATCTCAACCAGTCTCTGAACATATAACCATATCAGCTGCTGTACTGACACCAGTATTTCAATGCTCCAAAACTCTCTGAGCTGGAATAGGGATCCTGACTTTCTAAATTTACTGCATATTGAGACCAGGACAGAAACAATACCAAGCTTAGGAGAGAGTTTTATAGATGAGCATAAAGCAAATATATGGGCACAAGCTTGAGCAATAATGGTAGCTGTGACCCAGAGTAAGGTAACCACTGGCTACACAAACAGTCACTTTCTAGAAGAAAGGCACTTACTTTCTGTACTGTACTTGGGGTCTAGAGGTGATAAAGGGACGCAGGAGTGTCTGCACCCGACCTTCCCAGCACCAAATCGTGGGATAGTAAGTTTCTGTCACAACAGGACAGTACTCTTCCAGAAAGCGGCAGAAACGTTCATTGCTTGCCACCAGCTGGGGTTTCTAGGAAGAGAGACTACAGTCAGGAATGGGTATTCAGAGGAAAAATAAACAAGTAATAAATCAACAAAAGTCTGTTTAAATCCTGTCCCAGAAGACTGTTTTCTTTAATGCATTTATTTACAATACTTTTTTCCTTTTGTAATGAGGATATAAGTAAACAAAAAACAAATGGAATGCCAAAATTGTACAACTGAAAAAAAAATCACTAAGCATTAAGGATTCCTTACCTATTTCTGATAATATATTATTCCAGCTCTATTTCTACCAGCATCAGACCTTTCCCCGAGGAACCAAAAACATAGCATAACACTGCAAGTGAGAAAGACTGTATTGCATCGATTTTCCTGTATGATGCAGAAATGAAGTTTAACCAGGGATATGGACTGTGCTCTTGCAGTTCCTATTTTAACCTGGTAGGACACTCCTTCTCCCACCTCACGCTACAGCACGCACTGCATTGGCACTCACCTCTAAAACGCTCTGCATGCAGATATATTTCTCACTGTGAGAATACTTCAATTCCAATTAATCAGGAAACTGTCACACCAAGTGACTCATACTTCAGCAACCGTGTTTCTTAAGCTTCCCTTTTACACTGACTCTCCAGCATGCAGGCAGTAGCAAGACAACAACAGATTTGAAGAAAACCGTTGCACGCAGAGCAGCAGCAGCAGCAGCGTGTCCTCCTGACCCTTTATTTTCCTCCTCTCACAAAAATAAAGTGTCCTTTTTCTGATGGAGAGGAAGGCAATGTTCTCAGCAGTTCTATGGGAGCTCGTGGCGGCGTGCAAGTATTTACCAGCCTTAAATCTTTGCATATGTGTGTTTTCAGTTGGTTAAGCACTCAATGAAGCACTCACTATTACTCCGCAGGGCCGCTTTAGATGGGATCAGGCTCACTGTACCCAAATAGTGTGTGAAACCACTCAGTGTACCACACAGATGTACAAGGGTGGCAGAGCCCCAAAACGCAGCAGCAGCAAGTCCAACAGTACTTAAACCGGCACTGAGGGCAGACACAAGGGCAGGGAACTCCTTCGTTACCCGTGCTGCTCCTAAACCCCACATCGGAGCGGGGATTCCTCAGTCCCTTCCCGAGTCACCGCTCCCCACCTCGCTGCACTGCGGGACACCGTCAGGCAAAGCCCGTCATCCCACGCCCGCCGGGCCGGGCCCCCCTTCCAGCCCCAGCGCCGCGTTTCGGGCTGCGGGAGGCCGCGCATCCCCTCGCTCCGGAAGGGCCGCGCAGTCAAGCTCGGGGCTCCTCCACGGCCCGGCCCGGCCCGGCGGAAGGGCCCTCTGCGGGCTGACTTCGCCGCAAGGACGCCGGGCACCCCCGGCACTGGCAGGGAGGGGACGCTGCGCCCGGCCCGCCGCCGAGGGGCCGAGGTGACCTTCTAGGGGCCGCGGGACGCTGTCAGTGAGACACCTGCCGAGCCCGGCCCGCCGCCCTCCCGCTCACCTTGGCGATGCTGCTGAGGTAGTAGCAGGCGTAGGCGACGCCAAAGCCCAGCACCAGGGATAAGCCCACGCCGGAGCCGAAGAGCCCCACGCGGACCTGGTTCTCCAGGTACAGAGACAGCTCCCGGGTCAGCACCTGCCAGTCCATCGCGCCGCACCGCCACCCACGGCCGGAGCGAAGAGGAGGAGGAGCCGCCGCCCGGCTCCCGCTGTCCGCCGGCTGCACACGGCGCCGGGCACCGCTCCGCGTT